GAGAGAGAGGGAGAGGAGGAGGGGGAGAGCCATTGATTTCTCAACAGAGAGATCAGCATCTTGACAGAAAGAGACGAGAGGGCAACAGAGCAAGACACACACTCCACACACACACACACACACAGATAGAGAGGGTTCCCACTGTGGCCCTCAGATAAATTCCACGACTTTCCCATCTCTTCCCAGGTTTCTAGAACTGATCTGGAGTGCTTGCATGCTTCCTTGTGGTCTCGTTTTGAATAAAGTTGGGCTAAAATTCAGGTTTTAATGCAGATAAGCAGTGAAAAAGTTGCAAAATAAATCAATCTGTGAAATTTTCTAACTTGAACAGTTGATTTGTTAGGGTCGTTGACTTCTCCTGACCATCTTTCAAAAGTCCATGATATTCCAGGACCTTTTTCACCAGTGGGAACCCCCATTGACAAAGATCAACAGGAAAGTCTGGTTCAATGTCTCTCTCCCAGCATGCCTCGGTGATTCTAACAACCCTAAAACCCCCGACAGGGACACAGAGGACGGTGCTGTGGCTTCGTGCCGCTGTGGCTAACGAGGTGTGTGTGTGTGTGTGTGGAGGTCATGGGCACCGGGGGAACTGACACACACCGTGAAGGAGGGGGTGGGATTGGGGAGGGGCAGCCAGGGGTCATGCTGTAATTACACATCACAGTCCCTGTGGTCAGTGGCCCGACTGACTTCTTCTGACTACACTGCCTCAGCCAAAGAAGCAAAGATGGCAGGTGGGAGGCAGGTGGTAGCGAGAGTGGAGGGCTAGGACATTTTTGCGCCGCACTTGTGGAAAACTTGGAGGAATCAGGATTTTAAATTTGTCTAAATATAGTTGAACTACTAGTTTATATTTTCTTCTTCTTCTTAAATTAACTGATTAATTGATTCATTTCAGTGGTTGCTGTTTTCCAGATGTACACTGAGAGCATGTGTCAAGCAGTGAACCCGCCTCCATTCTCTCCTCAGTTATATGTGTTCAAAGTACTGCGAGTGGTCGACTCTCACATACCGTACATGGTCCTGTGTGAGAGGTAGGTGCCATAGAGGATGAGTGTAACACTGAGTAAGGCTCTGGATGCCTCCTCGTCATTCGGCCTCATGCAGCTCCTCACTGTGCCTTTGTGGTCAGTCACCTGGAAACAAACAATCAACAAGGCCATAATTTCACCAAAAAGCCTGGATTCATGTGGAAAACTTTCTTCCTGCATCTAATATTCATTACACATCCAAGTCGACTTGTTTGGACTGAATTCCAGGGAAGGAAACAACAAAAATGTAATGTAATAAATTATTTACATATTGTTCAGGAAACTATCTCTGACAAAAGTGTGTTGCTACTTCACATTGGACCGTGACCAAAACAAACGTACATACATTTGGACTTATTAAAGTCAGTTCTATGCATTTACATTATCTTTTCACATGTAAGCTTTTGTGTAACGTCACACGCAGTTTCTACAACAATCAAGCATCTTAATATGAAACACTTTGGTCACTGTGGGATATTAGGGAACCATAGTGCCATAAGAAACTAAATGTTAAGTTTAGATTATAGTATTTAACTCAAATAACCAGGTACCTCTGGCTCAGTAACTTGAAGTGTATCTATAGGGAATTGTTGGGATCCCTTTTGAAAATCCTTTTGGACAGATGTCCTTCTCTGTTCGGGGAATCACTGTACTTACAGAACTCAAACTTGATCATGACATTTAAAGTTTAAGTTCAAGCTTTTAGAGGGAGACATGTCATTTAGCCAGGAATGATCTGGTGCTTGTCATTAAGATTTATGGTCATTTTTTTGTATCATTGTTTGTGTTTTTTTGTGTGTTTTTATAAACGTTCATCAACGGACAGCCATTGCAAACTACCTTACAAATCCTACCTAATACTGTGGTATGTAACATTGAGATTTTTGACATATATATCCCCCCCGAGCCTAGAGGTGCGTTTGGCAGTTCAGACCAGCAGACAGAAAAGTATTAATTGAAACATTCAAATGATAAGCTTTTCATTTCTAGCTGGCGCTGACCATTTCTTTTGCCGGCTGAAATGACAAATGTCAGCACAGTCAAAGATAATTAAGTGAGGTACAGCATCACAGCAATGTAATGTCAGTGAACTGTCTTTTTGCAGTTTGACAAAGCCAACAAAGTGGAGCATCTTCTCTAGTGAAAAGATCTATCTCAGTCATGTCAGTTATATAATTTCAGTTCCACTTTAATTTATATGATCATATTAGTATTTTAAGCTGGTCTACTAAGGAGTTCTGAATGAACACCTCCAGTATTTGGATCCACTAGCTTGTGGATGTGGATGTCATCCTTTTATACCCCAAAAAACACTCCATATAAACTCCCTACATCTGCCAGAGCAGCTGCCCAGCGTGCCTGTGTGTGTGTGTGTGTGTGTGTATTCTATATATGTGAGAGTGTATGTGTGAGTGCTCCCAGCAGACCAGAGGCCAGGCACGGCAGCCCCCAGCCGAGCGCTGAATCGATTTGCTGTTGGTAAACAAACAGCTGGATGCTACAGGTGGATCGATACGCCTCGCATGCCTGCCGGCCTCCCAGCATGCCTTTCTACTGGGTCGACATGGCTCTCAGAGGAGCTGCGACCCTGTTGTCGCTTGGAAACTTCATGAGTCAAATATTTTGGGTTTCTAATTGAGCTGAAGTTCTTTTTTTCACATAAATTCACCCTTCTGACACAAGGGTCCGGGAAATCCATAAATACTGTTTTTGGATACCTTAACTTTACATATTGTATAATTTTATGTAGCAGTAAAATATGATGTTTGGTGATGATGTCAGCCATAAGTATGCTTTACCTTCTACCGGCATGATAAAGATGATGTTTAACTATAGTGGAATGAAAAGTGTGAGAGCTACAAGGGTTAGGACAAAACCAGGACATGAAGGAAGGAGAAATTAAACTGACTTTTAGACAAAAAAGAGACAAAGAAAATGAAAGGATTAGCAGAAGCAGAGGAGAAGAGGGGAGAGTGGAAGGATTTCAAAGCCAGAGAGAGAAACTATAGAGAGAAAAAAAAGAGAGGTGGGGGGGATTAGTGATGGGCGAGAGATGGCGGGATATCGAAACGGTTGAGTGCCAGGGAGAGGAAAGTGAGACCCAGCGATAGAGGGTGAGCCTGAGAAGAGAGAGGAGTTCAGAAAGAGATAGTGATGCAGAGGGAGGCAAACAGAGACAAGACAAAGATACGTGTAACCAAGACACAGACAGGAGACAAAGAGACAAAGATTCATAAATAAGGGAAACGCCACTTGGATGAATGAAAATCATTGTAGATACAATGTTTCAGCAGAACTGAACGTGGATTAGAGAAAATACGAGAACATGCGACCGGATAGTTTCCGGTTTAAATCCCGGGACTGGCTAAGAAAATGTAGACAGGAAGAAAGGAATGTGTAAATTAGCGGTAATACACTGTTAAAATTACACATTTCTTCGTATTTGCTGCTAAGCGGTGGTTGTTTTGTACGCGACATCTGTTCATCCATGGTGACTCAGAGCTCAGGTGTTACTAATAACATTATGATGGCCCCATGGTAGTAAGCAGTAGCTCTGCTGTAGTAGCACGAGCCTGAAACTGAGGCAGCTGAATGGAATTCAACCAATATTTTTTTATTATATACCCCTGTACTTTTTCTACTGTGAAATGTCAAAATGTCCTCTGAGACAAAGGCCTATGGCTCACTCACATCAACTTTTTTTATTCTGCCAAAATTGTACAATACACCACTTCCTGCTCCATTTCTCTTGGGATGTACTTCAACACTATTTTTATATAAGAAATATTATAAATAACTATTTAAGAGCTTAGAGTCAAAGAACTGAACATATATTTATGCTATTTTGGTTAATGAATACCTGACATTGCTTTACACAGCTCAAAGATTTAATACGAGAGTTGTTAGTCAAAACATGTTCATGTCCTAAAAGAAAGAAAACCTAAATATTTGTATTCGAAAACCTTATTACATCCTAATACAGAGGTAAATAAATTCTGTACACTGTCTTTTATTGCATTTTCTACTTTTTAGAAATCAACTGATTTGTGTTAAGTTAACTACTTGATAATGATACTGATATCTCTGAACTGTAGCGTTCAGTTGCAGATATTCCATATCTTTACATATGACATGCATTATAGGAACGACTTTGATAAACGTATTGTGTTTTCACTAAAATATGAGGGGTAGGAAAGCATATAGACCATCACAATCAGTTTTTCATCACAACCCTTCACCTACCAGACTCAACAATTAGAAGGCCTTGGCTATGAGACAAGACAAAAAACGTATTCATGTCGAAGTGTGACTGAATGAGTATTATTACTTTAACCCCCAGCACCTCACACTGCTTCTATCAGGGGTAAAATGTGAAACAAGAAGTTGCCTGAAAAGTGCAATGCACAGAAGCTTCAAAATAAAGCCCTAAAGAGGAACTTGCGAGTGTTGGCTGTGTTGGAGCGGGAAGCAGAATCAGATGGGAGGGGAGGAGGAGTCTTGCTGCGTCTACATATGTAAAGCAGCAGGGAAGCAGCAGTGTGTCAGACTGAGGCTCTGGCCCAACCTGAGCTCCTCGCTGCTCCCTCCAACACATCAATCATCCAAAACAGGGCCATCATGGCCACACTGCATGCTGGGAGACACACGCACGCTCAGGCATGCACACACTGCAGCAGGCTTAAACACAAATAACTGAACAAACACACAAAGGGGTTGCACGAACACAAAGGTTTAAATTTTATACACATGCATATTTGAGCACACACTGCTCAAATATGTAGTGAATTGCAAACACATGCATATACACTCAGACATAAAACTTACGAGGATTACGTTACAAGTTACACACAGGCGCACATACACCTACACAAACACACCCACACACACACAACCACACAGATGCATTACACAAATGAACATTCTGCCAACACACCACACAAAGGCATACGCAAGAACACTGCAGAAGTGACATAGTAAATGAAACATACAAACACCTGCAAATACATGCAAACTACACACGCACACACACACACAACGCACCTACACACACACACAGAGTCACAACTCTCTGTGTCTCACAAAGCAGCAACAAACGAAATAGGTATCCTGTGCCCACAAGGTGCCCGCCCCGAACCATCTGTGAGGGTGCCAACACACAGTGGGTGATATTTACATGGAGAACCCCCTCCCCCTCACACACAAACACACAACACACAAAAAAGAAGAGAATACCCACAAAGGGCCGCACGGATCGTTGATCTCCCAAAACTCCATTAAAACTGCAGATATATGCAATATATGACCTCTAGAAATCCACCTTTGGCGAGTGAGTGAGAGAGTGCGTGGTTTGTGGCTTGAAGTAACAGTTGCTGGAGAACGTACAATGAGTCTGTTTCCAACTGTAGCAAACTACCGAGGTTTGCCAAGTGCGTCTGCCAAACTTGATGCTGTGGTGATTTGTGAGTTACTGTATATGCTGTCACAGTAGATGTGAAACATGTTTTTACACTTTACGAGTGAATAGTTATCCTTTTATAGCCAATTCATAAATTATCCTATTACTTTTTTAATCCTACTACCACTACCACTTTTAAATATATTTAGGAAAGGTGGGGGCATTTTTTTTGTATTCAACTTGTGTTTTATATTTCCAGTTGTCTCAAATTTCTCTTGGATTAGACATAGTGACAAAGCTGTGTAAAAAGTCCACCCCCACTTGCAATTAGAAGTCATAAAGTCCGTATATTTAACTACCGCACTAACACATGTACCTGAACTACAGTACAAGTGAACTAACAACCATTAATGGAATATAATTATCACATACTGTTTACATGGACTAAAAGAAAAAAAATTCCTGACAACGTAATACATTATTTGATTGTAAAGGTAACAGAAGTACAATTCAAGTTTTTTTGGCCCCTGATCCAATTCGAGCTAATTATTGAGTATCTGCTGGAATGCCGAGACCCGATCCGATTACCTGTATTTATTTACTTTTTGATGAATACAGGTTCCACAGTCACACTTCAATTACATTTAAATCATTAAATCAATTCACCAATTAAATAGCTTTGGCATTGCATCAAAAGAAAAAAAATGCCTTCATTCCAAGATGTTTCCGTAATGTTTTTGTTTTTTAATGTTACCAAGTGGACAGCTGACGGAAACAAAACAATTCGGATCGGGAACTCCTGCTTAGAGCTTGCCACCTCCTGTACCAGTCCCTTCCTGCAGTGGCCACGGGTTCGAAAATCTGACTGTGAGTGTCAATCCTTTCTTTCTTTCCCACCTTTCCTTGTCAATCTCAAAGCTGTCCTATCCAATAAAGGCAGAAAACCAGAAATATTATGTAAAAAAAGAGAAGGAAAAAAAAGCTCAATATAACCAACCCGTCCAGTTAAAAAATGTCTATTGATCAGATCGGTATTTTTGTGGTTGGTAGAAAAAGGCTTGGTATTTAGGACCATTACAGTTTCTTCTAGAACATTATAGAAACAATCACATTTAAGTGTACAGAATCAGATCTAAAATGTCTCAATTCAGGTGTTGCCCTCCAACAGGATAACTTGCCGTAGTAATGATTCATTTCTTCAATTAAACACATTAAACAACACAAAACTGCAGTCATATCCATACAAGGTGCGAAAGCACTGATTGGTAAAATGTTCAATATTTTCTACTTGCTGCACGCATGATCGAACTCCATAGTTCTACATTATCTGCCCGGTAATTTCCATTACAGTTTGTTCCACTGTGTGTGGTTTGCTTTGTGTAATCTGTTTGGAGAGACAAGAGGAGGAGGAGCAGGAGTGACTCCAGGGAGACACCGGGGATGATTGATTGGTAAAATATATTGATCTGTCAGTCATGGGCCAGCAGGGGTGGCAGTTTGTTTTGTGCTGGTCTGTGTGGTTAGCCAACAGTGCTGCAGGTAAATAGTGCCATTTTATATTCCTAAGGAGCAACACTAGTTGCAGTCAGCTCGAGTGTCAAAGTCCTCTGGGAATCAGAGATGTCTGCTGCTCAAAGACTGCTGCCACCCTGTACACACACACACACACACACACCACACACCACACACACACAAACTCCCTGTAGGCATGGCACATGGAACCAGGTGGGGGTAGGAAGGCAGCAGGTATGTATGTGTTTTTCTGTGTTTGTGTGTGAGATGATGATGCTTCTCTGAAAGTATAGCGCAATAATGCAAAAATGCTGCCAGTCATAGCCATAGTTTCCAATTAAATAACTGTATTACATGCACACACACACACAC